TTATATTTACTTATTTGTTTTCATCGCTTTATGTGTAGGTTTTCTTAGCCTAATACTACGATCCATTTGACTAAGCTTTGATTCGAATCAATTGTCAGACGTCCTGAAAAATGAATTTAATTATTTTATTCTGGACTGGAACTATTTTTGGTAAACATTTTCTTTGAGAAACATATATATTAATAACACTTTAATGGACAAGGTCCATACTTTTGACCATCAAAATGAACTTAATACAGTTAACGTAGAGAGGGGTGTAATCAATATTATTGAAAGCCAGCATGTGCTCATTTAATGTAAATTTCACGATAAATACAATACACCACCTTCAACTTTACATACAGGTAAAATTATCCTTTGTCAAACTTCTACCATAGTGGTGTTAATTAACCTCGTTTCTTCTGGGACAAAATTATCCATATTGCTGTTATTTATTATGCATTTTTATGGTACTAATATATCGGCTCCTATTACCTTTTTGAGCTGAGGGTCTCCTGGAAACAGTCTCTCTACCCTTCGGGGTAGGGGTAAGGTCTGCGTACATATTACCCTCCCCAGACCCCACTTGTGGGATAATACTGAGTCGTTGTTGTTGTTGTTGTTCTTCTGGGACAACCGTTAAAAGCATGTTAACCTTAGTTTATAAATCATTTATGTGATTATTACTCGACGCATTAAACATTTATATTGTATTTACTATACGTAGCTTTACTTTTAGCAAATTTATCATTTCATGAAATAAGAGATTAATTATTTTGAATTGAAACAAGATAGCAATAAGCTCTCGCATAGAACGATTGTTTAGTTATTATTTTCTGTATTTCGCTTTAACTGTATTCCAATCGAGTAGTAGCAACAAATAGTAATTAGGTAAATTATAGTTACTAGACTCTAAATTATAGTGGTTTATGAAAAATCCTCTCATTTATAGAGCGTATGATAAAATATTTGCTCAAATTTGTATCTACAATTAGTTGCAAAAAATGTTAGTCCGACGAAAGAAAAAAAAGTTTTTTTTTTTTTTTGGGGAGTTGAGTTGGCGCCTCTGGCCTAACAGTATAGCACAAAACAAAAAAACACCTAAATTGACCCAAATGTATGACAAGCTATCAATATTATTAAGTCGCTTATAATTCATCGCTGGTAATTAATGCTCCTAAGCAAAATTCTTCGACATAATTAATTGATAGGTATCAGGAAAAAGAAAAATCAATTGCTTGTAATTTTATTAATCGTTGCCATAGTTCAATCACAAAAGAGTATTTTGGAATTTTATTTCAGAATTCTCATAGAATCAGCTAATAATACAGCCTAGATGGTGCCAAGTCTTTTTGCTGTAATCGCTAATACGGGAGATAGGATTGGAATGATTTGTTCAACTTTAACATCACAGTCCACGTATTTAGTCATATCAATTGTGCATTATTGAGTATATCATTTAACTGTAGTAAATCAATGTGGTTTGACCTCAGCACCGGCTGCACATACATGTTTTCCTGGACTATGTATTCATATATAGTTTTATGTTATACAAATGCATGCATCCGAAAGCTGGATAATTAGCTATTTAACTGTATACCTGTTTTGTAATCTTAACAAGCGATAGCAGGATCTGCAGCATTAACCTTCACATCTAATTCAGAGACCATCTGTTCACCTATTCGGGAGTCTGCTAATGCCTGTGGTAAGTCAAATGTGTGCAATAATTCAGGAACTAACAATCTGTATGTACCTCACTTGGAGAGTGAAGATTGTGATAGCAGCAGTAGTTCATCTGGATATCAGATGTGCAATGTATTATGTATCAGATTTCTACATCTCTAACATGATTGTTTCTAGTTTACCCGTCCGTAGATGATGACAGTTTGGCAGCAAAAGCTGAAAATGTTGGTTTATGTTTAGTCAACAATGGCATGCTGAAAATGTTGGTTTATGTTTAGTCAACAATGGCATGCCAATTGGAAGAGTTGGTGGAAAGAGTTGGTGGAAAGAGTTGGTGTGGATGCTAGGAGGAAGCTTCCTCCTTTGATGTCACCCATGACATCAAGAGGAGGTAGTTTGATGTCACCAATGACATCAAGAGGAGGTCTTTACCTCTATAAATAGATGCACTCCTTCACTTGTAGAAATCATCCCAAAATAATACAATACATTGTAGTGAGTAGAGAGTTAAGAGAGAAATTCTCTTAAGTGTAATTGGGAAATCTCCCCTTCCTTTGTTAATATTAAAAAGGGTAATTGTTCTCTGGTGGACGTAGGATTATTTTGATCCGAACCACGTTAAATCTTGTGTTCTTTCTTTTACGTTTCCGCTAACAAAAGCCTTACCTGGTTACAAAAAGTGACAGATAAGAGAGATATCCTTACTAACATGGAATATGAATTTTTGCTATTTCCTCTTTTTGAAGACACTGCAGCAGCTAACAATGGTCGTGATTGCAGAACATCGGGAGAGGCTGTCATTCAGTCAGATGACTCGAGCTTATATATGGCAAGCCATCAACTGAGATCCTCTAAGGAATCTGATGCTTTCACATACCCAGATTCAGATCAAGTAAAATGCTTCTGTCAGAACAGCCCACCACGTTGATAAAAGAGTATCAGAGAAACAAATCGGTTACCCTAGTACTTGACCTAGATGCTCAATGCTTTAATCACAATAATGTAGCAAAAATACACAGCAAATATGGCTGTAACTGAATTCAATATGAAAAACGAAAAGGCAAGAGAAGAGGAAACAAAAACTAAAGAAAGTTGAATTTATCGTTGCTTTGCTTTGTTTGGATACCTGATGAAAACAACAAAAGATAAATTGTTAAAGAACATGATTTTCTTGCTTGGATCAGAGTGCTAGTGAAACAGGTCACAGTCTAAAATGAGTATCGATGTGTTAACTTGAAGACACAGTTATTCAGGTGAGGCTTCAACGGATTGCATTAAAGAGATTGAAATATCTGCAACTAGATCAAATACCTTTTCCAATGTTGTTGAGTTCTATGACAAGACCCCAATCCTTCTCAACTTGTAACATGAACTTGTGGATAGGATAATCTCATAAGATAGCAGCCTATTAATTAAGAACCGTGAATGCATGATTTGTATAGAATGAGTAGAAAGAGAGACACTGATCGTTGACCACTGATCTAACTTTTGCAGGCTAAACCATTCAGCAACTACAGTTTCCTCAATCTAGCAAGTGTAGAAAGCAAGACATATGACTGATTCATCCAATTCAGCAAATCAACTTCTTGCAAATGAAAGCAGCGACTCAAGTAAGAGCAGATGTCTATCACAGACATGATTCTTCAAAGATGACAAACTGATTAACTACTTACGAGTTTACATCATGTTAACTTTCAATTTTCATTTCATAAAGATTATTTTGATAAGGAAAAGAACAAATAGCAGCTTGTCCAGAGATATCTAAGTTGTACGGCAGTGAATGGGAATTGGGATGAGGAAACAAAAGAGAAGCTTAGGATTTTCTTTATTAAAATGTTGGTTTGGGCGAGAGCTGCAAGCACACCTTGACTATTCCATCGAATATCTGCTACTTCCACCAAAAGAGAATTACCTTTGAACCCTGGTCTCCAAGGTTTGCACTCACTTCATTGACCTTGGGCCACACCGTTAGGTGCAAGAGAATCTTAGATGTAGTTTTTCGTTTCAAGCATTAATAAGAAAAACTGTCCAAGTTCTATTACTTAACTCTGATTTATTACAATAAGAAGTTGCTGACGGAAACAGAGCAACAGCTTTCTTCAGTAATACAGCAAAAGAGCAGTTCAGAAGCAGATGTACCACATTATGTTTTAACTGTTCTCTTACAAAAGTAAAGTTGGCAATTCACATCAACTAGAAAGGATGCAAACTGTTGTCTCAAAAATCAAAACTGTAGGACATAGTGCCAAGACTCGATATCAAGCAAAAGATCAAAAGACCACTAGAAAAACAAATATATATGCCCGTAAAAATTTGATGACTTATGCCAAATGATTGTTGATACTGAAAAATGGCTTGATCAGAATGTACAGGCTTTTTCCTCATTTGATATGTAACCTTTTGCTAACTAAGAGATCAACTTGACAACCATAGAGGCAAGATACTATTTGTAAACCCATAAGTGATCATCTTTGCAAAATTCACCAACCACTAGCAACCAACAGATTTAGAAGAAAGCCTATTTAATTGACAAATAAAAGAAACAATTTGATCGATAACACAGTGATAACGATAACATATGCAAAAGAAAATTAGAAAACCAAGGTATCCCATCAGGCAGTTAAAAACAGTGATGTAATTTAACAAACATCTCTTTTAGCGATTATCTGAACAGCTTACCTGAGATAGAAACAAGAATCACAATTAATCATGTCCCCTTTGCCTTCAATGATTCTCAATGGTTCTACCTAGAGGACCACAAACTCACAATGTCATTTAGAAACACTTCCAGACGATGTCAAAAGTCTATGGTTAGAGTTAGACACCGAAAGTTGATAGAGGCAGAGATTCACAAGTGCTTAAGATAATAAGCTATGTATAAAGTTGATAGGAACGAAACTTAGAAGTGCTTAGGGTAATGAGTTCTCTATAAAGATCTTTCCCAATCTGCTCAAAGCCTCAAACATGTCAAGGGGATCATCTGTTGTTGACCAACTCTAGTGGAACCTATATGCTGCAGCCTGATATTTTGCACCATGCAAGGCAAGGAAAAGATAGATAATAAGGTAACATAGGTAGACCAAAGAGAGTGAGAGTGATGAAGCCTACAAGTTTTTCATTGGGAATTTCTCTTTTTTTTCACCTTTATTGAATTACTAAATATTGTTTAACATTTTCCTCACGTTTTCCATTCACTCTTTCTTCTCGAAAAAAATGTATGACTTCAGCATCAAAAGCATAAAAGGCTGTTCCTCGGAAACCACTTTTCTTGTCCTTGGCAATATCTGCATCAAAACGGAGCATTGGAGTAGTTAGAGGAGATGAAATCTATCTGTGGCTTCAAAAATTCATCTCAACTGCTATTTATTGGCTTTGTTAAATGATACAATGCTAAAGGCCCAACCCCTGATATCTTCTGCTATGAGGCAACCTGGAAGCTGCATATATAGAGGAAACAAAAAATTACTTTGGATCAAGCTCTAATCAAACTTAGCTGAATCCATTCATCTGAGTTGGGAACACTTAAATGGTCCCTAAGAATCCAAAACCTACAGGCTACAAGTGGGTAAAACATTTGATCCGTGATAATTAACTTCTTATTGATACAACAATTTCCAAGCCCAGAGCTCAGTGCCCAAACTACAATATGCTTGCTATCAAGGTGTATCCCATATAGCTTTCAGCCTTTCACTACATACTGTATTTGATTTTTCTACCACCAAATGACAAGTTACTGACTATATCTAGAGAGAAAGAGCGATAAAGAGCAGTCCTAATCCATGCTTACATATTTAGTAGACTAAAACTCCATTAAACAAATGGAGCTGCAACACAAAATCGCAGCATGATTAAAAGTTGCTAAAGAACTTTTACTTCTAATTCATGCCTGCTTCTTCTTCTCCTTCAAATACAAGTAGTTTCTCTGGAAGTCTAAAACTACCCAAACCAAATGCCTCAAACCTATCTCAGGCCATAGTGCAGTGGGAGAATAAAGAAGACAATTTGCACTCTGCCACAAAAGAAAGTTGCTTAACCGAGACTCTCCAGAAGTCCGTATAATAATGTCTGGATCAGGAACAACTGCCATGTACATATGTCTGTCAACATTTGTTACACCAATAAGATGGTCATCCTTGTCCTTCCCATTTTCTTCGAGTCCAATTAAATTGCCTCCAGCATTATTTGCATCTCGTTTTCTAATCTCATCCCATTTTTCTTCACAAGATTCTTGAACAGCATGCACAATCTCATCTGTTGAAGTGTAGGCAACACAAACAGATAATACAGCTTTTGAATGACCTGCTGTCTTTACCATAGCCCTCTCAGCCGCTGACCTGACAGGGTCGCTCAGAAGTTTTAGGTTTCCTTGAAAGTAAATCCTAATGCCAAGGTGGTTTGCAATGCTCTCCTCTTTAATTAATTCATCAATTTTTTCCTGCATCAGTTTCATTAGGGATTCAACTTCTTCAGGTCTTCGTCTGAAGTTGTCAATGCTGAAGGCATAAACCGTTATATATTTTACACCAAGCTCGTAACAATATTTTAGCATGTTGATAAGAGCTGAAAATCCAGCCCTATGTCCATCCCCATCTAGCAAGTTCTGTTTCTTAGAATATCTACGGTTTCCATCCATAATGAAAGCAATATGACTAGGAACAGGACCCACAGAAAGCACAGAAAATATACATTGGCGAAAAAAGCTGCTAATATTATCAAATAGATGGCCCACTTGTTTACCGTTCACAGCTTCCATATCAACCCTCTGACCTAGTGCTAGATCATGCACCAAGATCAACCTAATAAAAAATTAGAGAATTTAGTCTCAACTAACAGCCATGATAGCATGAAACTAGAGCAGAACATAATCAATTTTTTCCTGTTCGTATAGAAAATAACCAATGTAGAAAAAGGGCAAACATAACGAATGTAAGTTGACATCACCATATACGTTGACCCCCTTGACATTTCAATGTATCTAATTATTTATATTTTGACACCCCTTGATGAAAATTCTAGCTCCGCGCCACTGCACTAGACTCCAAGTTTTGTTAGATATGTGAGGAAGCTAGAAGCTTCACTAGTGCCAGCATATCAGAATGTACATTGCAATCTATCTAGAGTAATTATTTTTGTTTTTCTTCTTTTTTGTGATAGGTGAGATCCAAGGGGTTACCCACTTAAGCCAAAAAAAGAAAAGGTCCAAACAAAAAAAGGCTTTGCATTAAGACAAACACAACAACTATGCCTTAGTCCCAAACAAGTTAGGTGTTGGCTATATGAATCCTCATTTCATTCGTTTAGCTCAACTCATATCATCGTCATTACCAAAATAAACTAAAAGTGCAAGTGTGTATATATAGAGATAGATAGATATAGAAGGTCTCTACAAAGTCTAAAACATATACCCAACTACTTAGTAGTTATCACCTACATAGATTGTGCCCTGTCTCTTAATTGAGACACACCATATAGAAAATAAAGCAAACAAAATATGGCATAGAAGAAAAAAGACAAGTAAAAATCGGATCTTTGAAAAGTGTAACCCAATTGAAGTATGGTATTTACCTTTGATATGCATTGACTGATCTTCACTAGTTGGGCACAGCAATCAAAAGATCCCTTAATTGCATAAGCAAATTGAAGTTTCTTAGGTGATGGGAAGAAGATGGGTTTAAAGGCGGGTTGGACTTCTAATGTTCGGGTTGATCTGGTGGTTTTGAATTGGGATCCAAATGGGTTGTTGTAATTGCTATTTTTTCCTTGTGAATAAAGTACTGGCTCTTGAGCCCTTATATTTCCGGGATAAGTTCACAAATACCTACCCAACACAAACAATTTACCCGCAATATTTATCCGCTCTATCTCTTCCATGGATCATAGAATACTTATTGGTGATCAGCAATATTTATGGGTTCTTACTTTGCTTCCTATTTTTTAATTATTAACTTTTTTCCCCACTTAAGCTTATCGCGTCCAAGGTACAATGGTGGACCTCACTAAAAAAATTTATCTTCTTCCATTAATAGTTAAGTTGTTCTCTTCCTTCAATTCTAGTTCTAGACCTTATACCCAATGTTTGATTTGGTTGCCACCGGATTATTTTCTAGTTTTATTCCCTTTTTTCATTGTTTTTATCCATATCTATTTTCTTACGCTCTTTGTTATATAATAACTGATAGAGTATTTTTTTTCCCTTCTTTGTTTCATTTTTTTTTTCTCCATAACAATTATAAAAATAAAAAAAAACTATATAGTATATCTTATTTCTCGTTTTCTTTTTATCTTTTATTTTTTTAAAAATATATGTATTACAATAAATATTTCTAGCATATAGGATCCAAAATTATTTATCATTATAATAAAATGACATATTCGTATTTAATATTATTATAAAGTACTTGTCATAATGGTTTTTCAAAACTGCATATAAATATACCAAATAGGTATATTACTATTTTATGTCTTTCGATACCTATTTCATGTACAATGAATATTATTTTCATGGAACTCCATCATAAAATTTATTTAAGAAAATATTTGCAATGACCTAGTTGGAAAAAATTTAAAAATGTCTTATTTATTATGGTACATTGTTATATTATATTGTATACTATAAAAGTATAATGTCACTATAACCATGACTTTAACTTTGCATAATAGCACCTAGATGATTCAACAAATAGCGGTCGGAGTTAAGGGTGGCAAGTGGGCCGATTTGGTAAGGTGTTCAATGTAGATTTTATTAAGGTAGTGCGCCTCGCCATTGAAAGAAAGTTTGATTTTCACCCTGATAATTTAGCTTTGAAATTATCTAATATGTACTGAAATTTATTTGAAGTTGGTTTCTTCACAAACAACGGGAATCCAAGGTACTTACCAAAGAGGGTACCCTCCCTCATGTTAAAAGATGATAGGACAAAATTTTTGTCTGATTGAGAAGTGTTCTTGGAGAAATATATTTTCGATTTTTCAAAATTTATACTTTGCCCAGATTTTTGTGTGAAAATTGTCAGTATCAATAATAGTGTGTACAGTTGATATACTTATTTTAGATGTTAAGGTGATATCATCTGCAAAAAGTAGATGAGATATTTGAGGTCCTTTGTGGGATAGCTTGATAGCTTTCCATTGCTGATAATCCACCAATTGGTGTATTTCTCTTGATAGTCTTTCAAGACATAAGATGAAGATGTAAGGGGATAATGGATCACCTTGCCTAATGCCCCTTGATGGATAGAAAAAAGGTGAAGGGTGCCCATTTATAAGGATTGAAATGGAAGTAGTTGTAATACAAGACATAATAAGAGAGATGATTTTGTGAGGGAAATTAAAGAAATGTAAAATTTCTTTGATAAATCCCCATTCCATTTCAAAGGCCTTTTCAATGTCTAGTTTGATTAGAAAATTTGCAATTTTACCCTTCTTCTTTCTAAAGTTTTGAAGAATTTCTTGAACGATGATGGCATTATCTGCTACTCTTCGCCCCTTTAGGAAAGCAGATTGTTCTGGACTAAGTACTTTAGTGAATAATGACTTTATACGGTGTACAATTAATTTAGTTATAATTTTGTAGATAGTGTTTCAGAGTCCGATTGGGCGATACTGAATGATCATTGAAGGATTTTTGAATTTAGGAATTAGGCAAAGATAGGTTGTATTAATCTGAATTGATATTTTTTCAGAAATAAAAACTTCATTACAAAAGGTTACTACTGATTGTGAAATTTGAGGCCAATATGTTTGGTAAAAAATAAGGATGTAACCCTTTCGGCCCCGGTGCTTTAAGAGGTTGGAAAGAATGTATGGCTTGATATATTTCTTTTATAGTTAAAGGTCTTGACAAGTGTGACTGGTCTATATTAGTAAGAGTATTACTATCATGCTTTGGTAGCTTGACGAGGGAATTAATATGAGTAGTGGTGAATAATGTGTTGTTGTAGTTAATTATTAAGGAGTTTACCAACGGTTGTTCCGTAATTCAATTACCACCTAGGTCCTTGAGGGCAGTGATTCTATTCTGTCTCCTATGTTGAAGTATAGTGAGGTGGAAAACTTGGTATTGGTGTCCCCTTGTTGTAGCCAATTTATTCTTGATTTTAAGCGCCAAAAATCCTCCTCCAGTCTTAGTAGTTGATTAAATCCTGTTATAAGATCTTGTTCTAAAATTTGGAGGAAGTGGCTAGTAGGGTAAGAGGGAGAGGATTGTAGCCCACTTAGGCATGCTAGGATGTTCTTTTGTTTTTTAAAGAGGTTCCCAAAAGTGTGTTGATTCCAATGTTGAATCTCTTCACTGAAATCCTCTATAGCAGTTAATAAAGGCTTATTAGGAGTCCAATTATTAGTAATAAGAGAAGGAAAGGATGGGTGCGATGTCCAAATTATTTCAAATCGAATTATTCTTTTACGACTGAATTTATGCTTTAAATTGAGTAGTAAGGGGCAGTGATCCGAATGAGTTCTAGGAAGGTGTTGTACGTTGGCTTCAGGAAATAAATCGAGCCAATCATAGTTACAAACGAATATGTCTAAACGTTCTAGAATTCTATCAGCTAGACCTCGTTTATTTGTCCAGGTATATCTACTTCCTCTAAAGCCTAAATCCAGTAAATTACAATAATCAAGGCAACAAATGAATTTATCACATCTTGAATTATCTATCAACGTACCAACGTAACATATCTTTCTTATCATACTATCATGATTAAATGAGCCAGAAAACCGGTCATGAGATAATAAGAATAAAACATAAGGGAATACTCAACATATGAAGACCCAAAATGATATACAAACTTATATATGTGACATACGGGCCTATAAGGCCGACATGACCATTTGTAAACTCAAAACATAGGCCGACAAGGCCATACAAGTGTCCCTACACCTGACATCTGTCTAGAAGCCTCTAAGAGTACATAAAATCATAAAGATCGGGACAGGGCCCCGTCATACCAATCAGTACATATCCAAAGCATACTGACCAACTAGGCAAATCCGGAGCAAGTGGAGTGCACCAACACCTTCGCTGAGCTAATAGCCTACTATGAGGACTGTCAACCTATCAATCGGGACCTGCGGGCATGACACGCAGCATCCCCAGGCAAAAGGGATGTTAGTACGAATAAAGTACCGAGTATGTAAGGCAAGAAAGCATAAACAAGAACAGTAATGTAAAGAGAGATAGAGGAGATACAACCTGTAACATCTGAGTGCCTCTGGGGGCTACTGACATGAAATGCATAATACATATATATAAATGAACTTTTTAAAAACATTCTCCTCTGTGGGCATCATCATCATTATATTCTACCCGGCCTCAAAGAGGACTCGGTAAAAACGTACCCGGCCATCATAAGGCTCGGTTGAATCGTACCCGGCCACGTGGAGCTCGGTAAACCCAACTGATCAGTGGTTGCACAATAGGTGCCATACCCGGCCGACTATAGCGCGGCTCGGTAGAGTAAAATAGATACATATATATAATGCATGCTCGACTCATGGAATCACGTTCTAACCCTTTCGGAGTGATGTAAGGTCATTGCACCTTCGATTAACATTATGGACATCCCTACCATCAATATGAACCTTAGTGGGATTTAAGGATCATACACACTTGTTTAGAATAACTTTATAAGGAAAGAACCACATGGACAACCTTAGTTTGTAGGAGTAGATCCGTTATGAATTAGCGTACCGTTTATGTTCATGTCACTTTAGATCATGACAAAAGAAAGAAGTAAGTGCCTTAACATACCTTGTATATTCTTCCCAACCTCAAGCTATGCAATTTCACGACTCTTTAGTCTACAATAAGAGAAATGACACTCTCGTTAACGTTTAAGCGTCGTAACTATTATGTATCGACCACAACCTATTTTACAATAAAACGGACAGAACCTCCACTATATATATGACTTCACACTAGTCAAAACAATTACAAATAGCCCAACATACCCCTATCACTTCATACACAACACGACAACCATAATAGTGTCAACCAACCCGAAAATATTACGACGAACGACCAACAAACAACCTTGCCATTATGTGGTGTTTCTCCACAACCTTCCTCCTCTCAACTCCATAAAAATAGTAGTAAAAGAGACAACCCAATACCAACACGAAACAGCCCAAAAATATTCCCACAAGTTCATCAACTCAAAAATAATTTTTCAGTTTACTTAAACACGTTTCGACTTGTCTTTTCTTTCAAATTGGGAAATACAACCAAAAGTACATCATTATACCTCTTATCCAATAAACCAACCATGAATTTAATTTAAAAATAAGTTTACAACCAGCCAATCATTACACAAGAACAAACAACATACCATTCTTTCGAAACTAGCTAGGTTTATTCTTTACGATCGAGTTACAACTTGCAAACGCATAGATAATGGAAGGAGAAGCATAAACTACCTTGTACTGAGTATAACCCACAAAACCTGGTCCTTTTTCATCAAAAATAAGTTCCTCAACACGGCTACAAGAAGGAGAAAGAGAAACTTGCAAGTTGTCCAGACTTTTCAGCACTAGAATCGCGTCGTAACACCCGAAATACCCTAGGGTTTGTGTGGGATTTTTGGGGAGGAGTTGCAGGGGTTCAATTAGGTTTTCTTGGTCTGAAATATAGGTGAAATAACTGAGTTTATAATCCCTTAAAAGTCACCTCTTGACCGACTTAGTTGAGGCCTCTCTTTTTGGCAAGTAGGTGATGTACCTACTTGTCACCTACTAGCTGCGCGGTCTCGCGAAAATGTGAATATCTCTATACTCTGAGATCATATTGATAAACGGTTTAATAAGTTGAAAACTAGACTCATAGATCTTTAATTTCATATATATATCATCCCTTGATTCAAAGTATGTTGGGATAAAAGCTCAGCTACATTTAACCTAAGTTTCAACTCATTTTTTAATGTAACTTGTGATGACCTTTTCCAACTTTTGTTCCACAACTTGCTTGACTTAAAAACATAACACACGACTATCATACGACTAAAATAACTCATAACATAACCTCATAA